TTACTATCAGACAGAGACCAGTGCCCTCAGTGGCGTTACTTGGTTGCGGATTCTAACAATGCAGCGTCTCTGTGTGTAGGTCGGTTAAATTGCTGCTGGTCTTCGCCAGCACAGTTATTCATGGTTTCAGTCTCGAGTCTGAGTCTTATATTACGCCAGACGGTCAGCTGGATAGTCTGTTTTGGAATAAAGCACCTATCTGGGGCTTCCAACCAAATTCTTATTACTGTCAGTCAGTTGCGGGTTTGTTAAGGTGGGGCGCTCTCTCTGACGAGAGGATAGGTGTCGTTTACAATTGCTGCTAGCCCTCGCCAGCGCAGTCATTTTCGGGTCCGAATCCCGTGGGACTCGTCGCCATATTTTACTGTCTCAGATTCGAGATTCCCTATTCGTCACCTCCTAGGACTTGCAGGGCTACGGTGGAGGTATTCGCACCTGCCTCTACACGGGATTCAGTCAAAGTCAAGCGGTTTACAGCCAATTAGTCTTGGCGTCAGGCCCCTTGATACTCACGACCAGAGATTTTTTTCAACTGAACTCTTGCGGTAATAGTCCTTATGTAACATCCTCTCTGACGAGAAGATAGGTTTGCTCATATGTGCTTGGCCTTTCGTCAAGTGTACATTTCGCACATATAGCATGCTACTGAAAATTCTTCCTTATGTACTACGCACAAGTCCTGTCAGTACAGGCTTTACAGAGCAGATCATGCCTAACTTACTTATCTTATGTTACAACGGCAGCTTAGTCACTTGAACGGTCGTAAGCTTGACCACCGCCAAATTTAAGTATCTTATATTTTCTATGTCTGGCGTCATCTTGTCCTATACCGCGAACACGTTCATTCTCATGATTTTGCATGGGTTCTTGTTGCCCGCATAATTTTGTTATAGTATAGTCGCATACATACGGAAGGTTGAAAGTTGCGTGCATATCGCTTACCGGGGTGCACCTTGAAAATTTTCCAACGGTGCGCAGTATTTTGTTTTGCATGCGCTGCAATTTTAAGAGGTACGTGTCTGCAGCTAAGTCCCAGGCGGGACAAGCGTGAATCATTACTGATGTGATCAGTGCCTTATGGAGAGTTAGTTTAATGTTTGCGCTTAAACGCTCACTTTTGAATTGGGAGTAGATTCTAATAAATGTTCTGAAGGCCTTGGCTTCAATCGTTTCAACGTGCAGTCTCCATGTAATCCTCTTATAGAAGATTACACAGAGATATTTTACATGATTGACGAAGGGGATATTCCGTCCATTCAATGTAAGATGGCTTTACCAAACACTCTTGGTAAAAGCCAGAAAAAGCAAACTATGAATTTTGAATTCAGCATAAATCCAAACTCATTTCCGACGCGTCGTAATGCTAAATGCTCTTGGCGATTTTAAACCAGCAAGGAATTGTCAGAAAAATGTAACTCCCTTGTCTTTTTACTCGTTTCGTACGGTGTGTCCTGCATTGATACACGATGTCTCTGTGTGCAGAATATTCTTATATTCTACTCAGCACGTCTCAATCCGGCGAGGTATTCATGTTGCCGAAACACAATGTCTTCTCTTTCAATTATGTCTGTGTTCGCTTTACTTTCACAATCAAAGCAGAGCTTATTTTTATTTTAAAAAATTTATGTGTCGACCTTTCAAAATTCGTATGGTAGAGGTCGTTATTTGAGCTGGGATAGCATAGTCGGTATAACAACTGGCTACGGGCTGGACGACCGAGGGGTCGGAGTTCGAGTTCCGGTAGGGTCAAGAATTTTATCTTCTCCACGTCGTCCAGACTGGCTCTGGGGCTCACCCAACCGCCTATCTAACGGGTACCGGGGACTCTTTCACCGGCGGTAAAGCGGCTGGGGCGTGAAGCTGACCACTCACCTTCAGCTAGTGTCGAGGTCAAGAAAATGTGGATTTATATATCCACTCCTCCATACACCTTCATGGCGTAGTGCTTAATTTGTTGAGCAGAGGTACAACTTTTTAGGTCGTTATTTACCGCCGTGAGGATAACAGCGTTGGCGTTTGTTTCTGAGATAGAAGTCGAAGGCTCCGAGCATCTTCAGCGTGTATTTTGAAAATCGGATCCTCCCTAATCCCTACAGCTTAATAGTTTCATTCAACATCGAACCCATGATTTTTCCGGGATTTTTAACTTTAACGTAATTAAATATGTTCAAAATAATTCCTTGTTCTTTGCTTTTATGTATTTGTTCATTTTTACATCTTAACAAAGCAGCGTCAGAAATGAAAGCTGGAGAGACAAAAGAAATCAATTTCCGCAAGAGGCTAAACCAGCGCAAATACTGAGCAACAGGTTGATTACCTGAAAAAACTTGAAGGGAAGAGACCATTCGGGACACGTGGATGAAGATGGGACAATAATTCTAACAATCACGTTTTATGTAAATGAGATGTGAAATGATTCGGCTCAGAACAGTGTTCGGTGAACATTGTACTGACACTTCGGGAGGAAAATATCTTGACCAACTAAGCGCCTATCGGCTTCTCAAGAAGCAACCATCGATCATGTTGGGTCAGGTGGTAACGCTTGTTTTCTATTCGCGTGGTACCAAATTCGAATCTCGGCCGGAATACTAACTATACTGAGCGAGATATTTTCGTGGTTCTAAGAAGTTATGAACAGTAGGAAATGTTTAAAAGAATTATCATCTGGTAAATAACGTCGTCTAGCCCGGTAGAGTCCACTGACATATCGGAGGAACGTACTTTTAAGTCGAAGAGTAAGCCAAGCAAGAAACCAACATGAAGGTGCCGAAAAGCAGAGAATTACAGCCCATAAGATATCACTCTTCACAGTGGCCTTTATCAAGGCTCCCACATTTTCTCTAGCAAGTCGGCTCACAGACAGCGGTGAGGTTGTCAACCTTAAGCGCCGGCCGCCATTTACTCCCCAGGAAGATTACTGGTACTCATTTTTGTTAGAGGCTGAGTAGACCCCAGGGCCATAGTGCGGCTCGAAGGATTAGGTAAATTGAAAAATCCACCTCATCGGGACTCGATTACGCGGCCTTCAAGCATTAAAGTTTATTACCACCATGCATCATTTCATGGACCTAAAGTAAGTTACGCTAGTTTTATTCCCGCCTCGCATTGCAATGCATTACATTACATTACATTCCCTGGATCCAACGTCCATGAAAATGACTGTACGATGTGGAATATGTCATACAAATACAAAAATATATGTACAGTACAACTGAAGTTTTCACGCAAGAAAACACAGTGGTTCCACTTGAAGCTCTTCAAAAATACATCCATATGTATGAATATACAACAATACACAACATCAACTTATACTATTTACACTATTTTTAAGTGATGAGTCATAGTTAGACAATAAGTATTCATCAACAGAGTAGAATGAGTGTGTTTTCACGTGTCGTTTTAGTGCTATTTTCAATCGTGCCTTTTCATTCATAAGACTTGAGATCATAAGGCAGATTATTGAAAATTTTGTTCCCAGCATAATATATGTTTTTTGGAATGTATGAGAGGTTAGCAGTTGGTTTATGGAGATAGTGCGTGTGTCTTGCGTTACCAAAGTGTAAATCTGAAAATGTTCTTCGTTATTTGTAATGTGAAAATATATATATTCACATGGAACAGTTAAAGTCTCTAGTCTCCTAAACAGATCTCTACTAGAATTACGGGATTTGGAACCCATCAGGAGTCTGACAGTTTTTTTTTTTTGCCATGTAAATAGGCTTTTGCTGTCAGATGAATTACCCCAGAAAATTATTCCATACTTCATTGAACAGTGAAAGCAAGCAAAATAAATTGATTTTAGAGTGTCAATGTTGCTGATATGCAACATAGACTTAATTGCATAACATGTTCCACTTAGCTTTGGAGCCAACTGATCTATTTGGTTTTTCCAGCTTAAATGATTATCAAAAACAAATACATGTCATTTAAATGAGGTTTAACTGTAATGTGTGGAGGGTAGAACAGAGCCTTCTTTCCCCAACATGTTCATGAAAACAACCACTTGTTACCCCTGTAATGCGTATAATATGTACATTGTACTTTAATCGTAATTAACCGTGATCATAACAAGATGAACCATAATGAAGTTAAAAGTTTCGGAAATATAGTAACTCAAAGACATAATTAAACAATTAGTAAACTTCATGTAAGGTCAAAAGACATGCGGCGTATACGTACTGTCAGGGCTACAGTGGAATGTATCTCGTTTCCTTGGGAACACAGGGAAAAGTTCACCCTTTGCTACATAATTTTCTTCCCTTCCTTTTGTATACGTAAACACACCTCACACTCAACCCAAACCCACACACATCCCGACACTTATCAGCTGTTCCCGGTATCTGGACGAATGCGACATCTACGCGGTATTATGAACAACTAGAAATATCCACTAGTTGCGTTTCTTGTTCCCAGGGAGCAGGACATGTCCATTATTTGTGGCCGCTCCGACCGTCTTTCCTGTGACAGCCGCAGGAGAGCGCATAGATCGCACGACTGAAGCTACAGAGCGGAAGCGCTATTTCGGTGTGCCAGCGAGACCTGCGGTAGCAATTATAGTTCTCGCAAGGACTCTAATTCAGAGACAACACAGCTAGCCTCATATTTACTCCGGAAGTGATCTGTATTATTAGTGTCAATAAAATTTGTATTACGTTAAACACTGTGATATGATAATGCCACAACAGTACGTTTGATTGCTGCAGTTCGCAAGTCACGATTTCTGTAGTCGGAATTCACGTCGTGCAAACACAGTTCACTTTGATAAAGCTGAATCAACCGCATGGTATTGTTTTCCGGTAACTTAAGCGACAGTTTTCCCGACATTTCGGCAACGTTCCGATACTTTATTCACAACAGAACTGACACTCAGGCCTGTAAATACGCCGGCTTCAGGCGATAAAATAAAACGCGGTTTGATTATATTGGCACGCCTGGCTGAAAGCGTGGCGAATGGCAGGCTTGTGTTCGCGCCTACGCATTTCCCGCTCTTTCGTTTACACGAGCCATGACCACGGCGACCGCGGCTGAAATACTTTCCCGCCAGTTATTAGACGTGGCACCCCGCTAAGGTAAACACAGCGATGACGTGAGCTGCTAATAGAACATGAGTTTCCTCAGTGTGCGACTGATAATCTGGAAACCAGTTGCCTGCTTGAAATCGGCGACATTTCTCGGAAATTGCGGTTGCCAGTTTCCTTGGTGTGCCCTCGCCCAAATACTTATATAGGACATGGAACAGTCAATTCCGCATACTTCTTTTTGGTAGTTTTTCGAACAGGACGGACTAAGACTTATAAAGGTATTTTTATGGAGGGAAATGGCTCGGAAATGTAATAAAGCGTGTAATGGCAGAATTGTATGCAGGCCTTGAAAGAAACATGCAGCTCGTTTCCGTTTGTTACCTATATGTATTTCCTTGAAGGGTGCTAACATATGGGGCACCTAAACTCCTAATCTCTACCTTCAAGTGAATTTTCTGTTTTGGCATGTGTCAAGGGTCGACAAATTTCCGTAGCTGAGCCCCCCCCCGTCCAGCGGTCCCCAAGGCGCCCACGGCCATGGAAGAAGTATGGCGGAAATGGCTCGTACAAGTAAGCTGTATCTCTTTAAAATTACTCATTTATTTTCTTTAGATATTTTATCCACGTTCTGCATTTTCCCTAGAGTGTTAGGGTATAAATCCACGTAATTTGTCAGTAATTTACTAAATCCCATTATGTATAATGAAAATTTGTTGCAGCGATTTTAATTTTATTCGTCTTATCACTTAGCAGTAACTAACCCCAGTGGGCTGATACGCATAACTGAGATCACTGAGATTACTAGCAGTTGATAACTTACCAGACTTCGCGTGTATTAAATGAATTTTACCGCGTGTAGTAAGTGAATTTTACTGAGGATGAACTAACCTCAAACAAGCCTGTATCATACTTGTATTGGGGTGAGTATTCACTCAAATATTACAATCTGTCAAAGCCGTCCTTGCAACTCTGACGATAAACTGCTGATTGCGACATACAGAATTGAATGATACTGTAATTAAGATAGCAACTGTTTCCATACTACAGTCGTGAAAATAAACATGTACTATTTTAAGCAATTGTAAGGGGCCCCATACACGTACGAGTCTGGCTCGCAAGTCCAACTCAACTTGGGGTTCCTGTGAGCCAAACTCGTCTGTGTGTGGGTCGCCACGCTGATACGTGTGTGGTGAAATTAATCCGAGCCCGGCTCCCCGAGCCAGACTCGTACTTGTATAGGCCGCATAAGTGCTGTGGAGCCATTTCTAAAGATGAACCCACAAATATACACGTTTGATTTGACTTTAGGGCATGAATGCGACTGAGTCCAGTTTATCTTCGGACCGACTGATGTTCAGCCAACGGTCAGCCCGAAGATAAACCGGACTCAGTCGCCTTCCTGCCTTATGTCAGGACTGTATTCGACCATATTAGCAGAGTGCTGTCCCGGCACATCATCAAATCAGTGGGCCTGCCTCCAGAGAAATTATCTCGTTTTCTCTGGCCAGTCAAAGATAACCTGGGACTAAGGACACTGGGTGTATACAGTATCCCATGTGAGTGTGGCAAGGTCTATATTGGGCAGACCAGTCGTTCTGTGGACTCGAGATTGAAGGAGAATCAGCAGCACATCCGTCTCGAACATCCAGACGAGTCAGCTGTTGCTGAACACAGTATCGGTTTGGGACACCACATTCAGCTTCAGAATACCTCCATCCTCGCTACCAAGACCCGTTATATGGATCGCATCATTAGGGAGGCCATTGAGATTGAACTCCATCCCGACAGTATGAACAGAGAGGTGGGGTTTTGTCTCAGCAAGTCATGGAAGCCTCTCATCCGTTCCCTAAAGTAACCTCCAAAATACGGCAGGCCCTATAGGCCACTCAGGTCCATCGCAGCCCCCGAGCTATAGGGTTAATGACCTCCGTAGCCACATTCCTTCTCTCCTTCTCTTATACTCCTGTGTTTACTCGACTGTATTCAGTCTGTTGCACCTGCTCTGCTGGTTTGCCGGTGGATTTCTTCTTGTCTTCAACCCTGAAGACGGAGGTGATACGTTCCTCCGAAACGTCGGTTAACACAATTTCTACACGGCGCCACATCCAGAAGATGGCTTTCTTCAATTACTAAATTCTTTATTATTCTGTCTGCCTCATATAATATGTTTAACTGAACACCGTTTAAAATAATATGAAATAAATAAGACCGCCACTGAGAACACTAGTCTTTGTGTGATAGTGATTTGTAAAGTCTTGTCATGAGTTGTGTTTAAGAGTCCAATAAATCCAGTAATCAGTGCAAAACTCTGTCTCTCGTCACTTGAACACATTACAATATATTAAACAATTTATATATACCGTGTGTGCCATGTAACATTACAAAGCTTTGCACCATTTTGTGATTAAAAATGCGACACTTTAAATATAGGTGCTCTGACACTTCTAAACAGAGAAACAAGTGCAGCAAGCTAACCAACTTATAGACTTACTGCCTCTTTGATTGACTGACCTGACAGACTGACTGACTATTTGATTGATTGGCCTGACAGACCATCCACCCACCTACCCACCCACCCAACTAATGAATTAACTAACCAACCAACTAAGAAACTACCTCAGTGGAGCTGAGTCCTTCTTGAGAAACTTGGATTTGCTCACCTACTCAAGAAATTTCCCACCTAAAGGTTCATTACCATGTTCACAAGAGCCCATCACTGTACCCTGTCCTGAGCCAGATGAATTCAGGCCACATTCTATATTTCTGTTATATACATTTTTATGTTACTCCTACCATCTATGCTTCTGTATTCCACATGGTCTCTTACCTTTTAGAGTTTCCAACAAAGCTCTTGTATGCATTTCTCATCTCTCTCATGACTGATGTATGCACTGCACATTTCTTTTTATGTGATCACCTTAATAATATTAGATGTTACGAGAGTGCACACTGTAACACTATGACGGGCTGGACATATGGCTAGCATCAGAGAGGGAATGAAAGCGTCCACATTTTGCTGGTAAATCTGTTGGGAGTTTCCCATTTGGAAGATTGGGAAGGAAATGGGAGGATAACGTTATGAGGAATCTTAGGATATATGGATGGGAGATGAGTGGAAGTGATTCACGGTTGTGTCCAATTCATTCATAGTAAAGAAATATTAAACTTCTTCTTTTGTTACCTTTTCAGAAGATACTATTGTAGTTACTGGTTTTGGACCATTTGGAGATCACAAGATAAATGCAAGTTGGGAGACAGTAAAACTCTTGCCATCAATGAATGTTGAAGAGGAGTTTGGCGTGAAGTTGATTATTCACGAAATTCCTGTAACATATGAATATGTTGCAGAGAAAGTTCCATTTCTTTGGAAAGCCTATAACCCAATGGTATGCAAATGTTTTCTACTGGAATGTATAGTACAGTCCCTAATTAATGCTGTACTAAGTCTGGGTTACTTACAGCATCATTAAGTAAACCATAAATAAATAACTCCCATGGACTGACCAAGGAAAATTTAAGCATATATTGTACCTCACATGTTATATACAACATTACAATACAAATTTGAATGGGACTTAATTTCTTTTGGTTTTCCTGCAAATTTCTGATGTATTCCATGTCTTTTTAAGAAAGTTGCCAATTGAGCAATTAAATTTAGTCCAGTCTTCGATTTCTAACCTTCAGCTGCATGCATGTGCAGTGCCCATTCCAAAAATTATGTCTGGGTGTTAATTGTTTTTATATGAGACCTTGAAATAATAAATTTAATCAAAATGTGGTCCCAACATCTGTGTTTTTTCCAACAGAGAACAACATTTTGGAGAATTAGTTAACATCCTTTTGCTGATCAGTGTAGAACAGTCTTGAAACATTTAATGGAGTGAGCTGTTAAGTAAGTTAATTACAATGGAACATTTAATTATCGATTATTACTGTGCTGCATACTTTCTTATCCCTCAAATCTAATAAAGTGAAAATTTCGTGAATATAGTATGTTCCATGTCTTCATAATCTGATTTCTGTCAGAAGCCGTAGGTTTCCTCTTTTGACCATAATTTTCACCGTCATTCAGACATGAAGAGCAAAATGGAGAGCTTGCCATATAAATGCTCCTATTGAAAGTGGATTGCTGTTGGGTTTCAAATACTGTTTTCACTCAAACAACAACCATTCAGCATTAATGCTGCCACTGAATAGAGTGGTCTGGAGGTCAGCACTCTTAAGACTTGTATGCAGGAGATGCTTGGTTTGAATTTCAGCCTCAGCATCAGCCATCCTGACTGACGTTCGTATTTGTCCACGTTTCCTCTAGGCAAATAGGATATTAACTCAGTTAGGCCACAACTGCTTCCTTTTCAAGTTCTTCCCAATTCATCATTTATTTCTCATCCTATTATCTGATGCAGTATAGTCTGAACACTGAAAGCAGTGTTAAATAACCTGCTGACACTGTACTGCTGCCCCAAAGGGGAACCTTTGCTGATAATCTCATGCATTAACATAACAAGTATAACTTAATTCTCTTTTGGATTTTATATGAGCATTTTGATTTTACCTAAGCTAGTTGTGCATGTGGGTGTGTCCACCCTTGCAACTGGCTTGACTCTGGAGCTGCAAGCGCACAAGTCAGGATACTGTCGAAAGGATGTACAAGGGAAATTACCTCCAAGTCATGAAGTTAGTAGTGGGAAAGCTGAAGTAATTCAGCCCATGTTTGATGTTGAGGATGTATGCAAAGCAGTAGACAAAGCCAAAATACGAGTTCCTGTCTGCTGTTCCTCAGATGCTGGAAGGTATGTCATGTCCTTAACTCATTGTGTAGTAATAAGGAACCAGACTTGTGGTCTCATGAGAGTGCCTGGACCAGCTAATTTTGCCCTTTATGGCATGTAAATAAGATTTCAAAGTCACGAAATGTGTCACATAACAAAGGTTTTAAGCCAGTTCACTTTAGAATGAGATTTTCTGCTTGCCATTATGCATGTGTACTTGCAAGTTTTAAAGAAGTAACCAGTGGATTACAAGTGCAGTATATGCATTTAGAATTCAAGGGTTAAGTTTCAACTGTTTCCACCAAAATAAACAGTATATGTTAGTGTAGCCGTCATTAATTCAGTCTGCTTAATTCAGAACTGTGACAGAAAAAATATTTGATTAATGGATGGAAGTATATAATAGACATGTAGTGTAATACATTCATCAAAGGAATATGAAATAAAAGTAGCTTGATTGAACTTCTGTTTGTTAATTATTGTATGCGAGGAAGACAGTGAAAAATTGTTTTATTTATGTTTCATAATTATGTAGTTGTATTGTTTTGTATCAATACAATATAAGGTAAAATTTTAATATGTTTTAAATTAAAAAATATAAATGTTTTTATATTTAACCCACCTCCCACCAAATATACCCAGGTCATGAAACCTGAAGGGGTAACACCTCTAATTGAAAGGAGGATGAAAATAAGATGTTTATACCTAAGTGTCAGGTATTCAGTACTCACAGTTGCAATTATCAGAGCACCAAAATAAGCATTCATTGTTAAACCAACGGTGTCCCACATCACTCTTTTGTATCAGCATGCTTAAGGAAACAGCACACAAAAGGAACATATAATTCGTAAGTAGCGTTGTTGTATACTGTATGGTTTATGCATGCAAGAAAAATCATTTGTAGCATGTGAAAGTTTGAAGTTGATTTGGGTAAATATAATAATTATATTGCATTCAGTTGTTTTGTTTCTCCCTCTCTCCAAGAAAGAGTATCAGTGATTATCTAAAATTCCATTACTGCTGGACATCATTTTCCTGTTATAAAGGAGGGGGGGGACATGCAAGGACCTCATTCCTGTTATAATGTGAAAAAGCTGTGTGAAGAGTGAAGGAATTCGTTGAATAAATACAGTAATTCACCAAGTGGGTTGGTGTAGCGGTAATGCTCTAGACTTTTATTCAGGAGGTACCAGGTTTGAATCTTGGCTGGGACACTGTATATCCTGTCTGAGGATTCTTGTCCTTAGTCCCTATAGGGAAATGCTATGTCATGAAATAAGACCTGACGTATTCTTGTGATGTCATTATATTACTCAACGACGTAACTACAATTCAACATAACCATAACACAAATGTTGAGCAAGTCATTTCACATTTGGTCCTTTCGTGTTAACAACTCTCACTAGAATGTCAAAGAATATTCGTATGCAGTGATTCATACACAAGACGTTCCATGGCAACAAACCTACATACAACAAGACATTCCCAGGCAACAAACCTTCATTCAACAATATGTTCCCAGGCAACGAACCTTCAATGAAGGTTATCCGGTTCCTGGGATAACGTTACTACTCGACAAATAGCACACAACTACTAGTAGAGCAAATGCTATGCAGTCATAGATCATAAGTCAAGGAATTAAAAGGGAAAGATGTCTCAATTCCTCACATGCTAGGATAGTACTTGGATTAGGCTATGATGACTTTCTCCCAAAATAACTCAGTGCCAAAAAATGCAGTAATTCCTTTCACCTGCACGAGCAATAAAATGTTCAACAGTATTTTGAAAACTCTTTGAAATTTCTGCTAGGATATAGCCGGATAATTTTGTGGTGAATGTATCTGAATGTTTTGTAAACTGAATGTATTGTGTGATTTATTTCAGATATCTTTGTGAATTCACATACTTCATGTCTCTGAACATAGATAACCTGCGCACTATCTTCATCCATGTGCCAGTGCTAAACAAACCATACAGTGCAGCAGATTTGGCGGAGGGAATTAAGACTGTACTACGTGTTTTAATTCAAGAACTCCGTGCTCAGAACCAAGAAGGGCTTCTGAATAATGAAGTTTGCCCCCAAAAAGTTGCATGAATTTCACTTTTGTATATTCTCTAGTGTAAGCATATTCAAAATATTAATGAGGAAAGTTGCAATCAATTCTTCACAAATCAACTAAAATCAGGTATATGTAGGGAGGTGGAAGTCTAGAGTAGGTAGTGTGGTACTTATGCAAGTATATTTCTATTAAATGTGAAAGTAATACTATGGATGCAAATGTCCAATGTGTTATGTACATATATACAAACAAATATCATCAAATTAAAGACAGACTCTTTGATAATTACTACTTATCATTTTTTTATTCATCTCCACTGAGCCCTGTTATGATTTGCTGTATTGTCATAAATATAACCATGAAGTTACTGCTATTTTTTATGCCAGAAGTTTACCTTGGCTGAGTAGTGGTTACACATGATTTTTTTTTTGTCACTGGTCCTATGTACCATCATGCAGCTGGGTTCTACGTGATGGTCTGACTGCCATCTTTGGTGTTGAAGCTAAGGATGCTCCTGCAGTCATGCACTGGGTGAGAAGACCTGATCTTCTGCTGACCATTCTGCTGCTGATGTTGACATCCCATTTATTCCCCCGTTACATGTCTCTCAGTGAGTAGTTCTTTCCCTTCTTTGGGTACCTTCTGTGTCTGACCACCTCTGCATGGCAGGCAGTGAGGATTTTGTCTGCAATGGACCAAGATGTAGCTGAGCTTCTGATTATTATAGCATTGGGTAAGGCAAATCTGAGCTTGATGGTCTTCCACTTTTATCACATATGACATGGAGCATCACTCATTTTCATCTCTAATGCAACAAACTGTTCACAGTCTCTCTTTGATTTTAACGACATTTTAAAATAAAAGAGAGAGAACAATTTTTTGTTGCATTAGAGGCAGAAATGTGTGAACAAGTGATACGTTGATGCAATAGGATGCTGAAATATAATATTATGACAGAGTGATAAGTTTTAAGGTTTCAAGTGGCAGGGTTACAAGGAAGAGAGGCAAGGTCACATTCTGGTTTGTCTCTTCAGGGCAGGACATTTTTCCATGATCTGGTTGACACTTCTTACATTAGACATTAAACACAGTCTCTTCTCCAGCCAGATGTCTTCTGCTCAAGTGTTAGCCAAGTTTCATTATTGTATTAATACACATATTACTACATGTAGGAGGAGGTTAAGTGTGACTGGACGATTTTATGGTTGGGGAGAAATTCTGTTACTATTCTCATCTCAATTCGAGTTCTTTTGAAAGTAAACTGACCACTTGCTGTACTGTTACGCTCTTAGCCTCATAGCAGTGAGGTTAGTGTTAGCAGTCAGAACTACTGGAGGTGGCCTACCTGACATGGCTGCTGCCCCCTTCTGTAGAAGTTGAATTGCTGGGTTGTACTTCCATGCTGCTTATCTCTATGTTGGAATGAGCAGCACAGAGAATTCCCTCATAGCCATGTTTATCTTTCATATGCCGATGTGCTGTGATTTAGGTATGAACCACTCTTCTTAAGTCCAACTCACTTTCTGCTAGTCTTTCTCCCCAGAAGAGTCATTTCACTTCTTGATCTCCTCTCAGTAGTGAGGTCATCAGACATAAAGTGGCCCTTTTCAATGCCCCAGTATGTTTTCCCATTGATAGAACCACAACAAACCATTCAATGACACTGCATAGTGTTTCTCTGACGCTTTAAATAATTGTTAAGCAATAAAACTATGATGTGCATAGATTACGTCTTCATGATAAAAGAGTTTGGTTGCCTCTCAACCTGACCAGGGACAGAGTAATGGAGAAAACTGGATGAAGGAACTTGAATATTTTTCTTAAAATATATTTTTATTATGTACACATTACTCCAATATGCAACAAACATAATATCCTGTACATTTTAATCATGGATTAAAACATCACACACCTAAACCTGACAGTCTTCTGCATAAGTCAGCAAATTTCTGTAACCAGGTGTTACTTTCACTTCATGAAGAACCATTTGTTGGTCTTAATGTTCCTTTTGTACTGACAGTTCAAAATATCTTTTGACAGCAAACTTACATCTCATTGCTGAATGTCAGTTTAAGAAGTGAGAATCATAACTTTGGTGTCACAACAATTCATTGATATATTCTTGTGACATACTACTCAAATGGAATTATAGCATTAAGAAAAATATACTGTATCCCCAATTACTGTGCTTGCAGTAGTGTATGTATCTATGCATACCAAGGAAAAAATGTATATTTTAGTGAAGATTTTTGATTCATATATTTTAGTAAAACTAAAGGAGAGTTCAGTTGGTAACTGATTTTACAATGGGATTCTGAATTTTAGAAAACCATTGAACTGTAACAGAATATGGAAACTTTTGTTTCTAATTCATTAAAAAAAGAAAAAAGAAATATTATGGTCTTCTGGGATGTGGTGCTGTGTATTTTGGCAGATGTGTGCCAGCATTTTGAAAGAGTATGTCACCTTCACCTTCAAGGTATAAAATTAATTAATGTGGCACCATTTATTTTGATAGACAAATACCTGCATTTTGGGAGAACCTGCTGCCTCCATCTTTAGGCTGGAGGCAGTGCCTCGAGTTCCTCTGAAATGTCAGAACTCACCTGTCATCAATATGATGCTGCCACATCCCAGCAGAATGTTCTTGATACTCACTACTGTGATAGCTTCAGGCCTCACATGTGTGGAAGTAGTTTCACAAGCATGTTACTTTAATTTTTTTAATCACTTCAAATAGATAATTGTGTTATTATAGTACAGTTAACTTTTAACACATATTATTCAAACTTTAATTTTGGTGTTTGGTAATCTGTCTGGCCTTTAAGACATGCACAGTCTTAATCCATTCCCTTGCTGAAATAACATATTTGAATCCTAACTGGGGCATGTTTCATACATGTTCTAGTGCTATTTTGTAATTGTTAGAGGCGTTGCAACAGTCTGACCCTCACCCCAAGAAACCTGTCATATGTGTTGAAAATATTTATTTTCAGAGAACTCATTCTGAACTAGAACAGGTCAGAAGACCTGATACTTAATAGAAGACTGCATTTTTTT